AGAAATGTGATTTCCTTGTTTTGACGAGAAAATGCAATTTTTTATTTTTGATGAGAAAATAATTTTTTTATGGTATTGAAGGGAATCAAAATTTCTCGAGAAAACGAAATTTCTCAGGGTTTAACGGGAAAATGTTATTTCTCAGTTTTGATGAAAAATGTGATTTCCTAATTTTTGGTGGAAAATGATTTTTTTCGGTTTGACAAAATTTCTTGATTTTGATAGAAAATGCGATTTTCGGTTTTAGCAGGAAAGTGTGATTTCTTGATTTATGATAGATATTATGATTTTTTGGTTTTCATGATTTTTGCGGAAAAATAAGATTTGATAGTTTTGTCGGGAAAACATAATTTTCGGTTTTGGTTAGAAAATGCGATTTTTTAGTTTTTGGCTGGAAAACACAATTTCTCGATTTTACTGAAAAAACGTGATTTTACGAACATGAGAAAAATACAGTTTTTCAGGTTTTGTTAGAAAAACATGATTTTATCAAAAAACATGATTTTTGATTTTGTCAGTTTTGGTGAAACATATGATTTAATAGGGGTTTTAGGTTTTTTTTTTTTACTTTTCAAATTTAAGAGTATTTTAATCATTTGTTATTTTGAACTGATATTTCCATCAAAATGATCCAATTTGATTCATCTAGATGATTCCCATAAATTTATCTAAACCGTGAAAAATCATCCATATAATTCATCTCAATATTTTTCGATTTTATTACAAAACAAGCAAAAATTTATGCTAACTAAAAAATTAATATAATATTTATTTACATCATAAAAAAAAACTTTTTCATTTTAAAAAAATAAAAATTGAATAATATTCCGCAACTTAGCACAGAAAATATATAATCAAAACCAAAAATCAGAACAAAACAATAATACACATCATATAACTTAAAGTACCAATTAAAACATGTTATTCTTACATGTCATGCCAGATCATCTGCCGTTAATCTTCGTCCTCTCCGCCTTCTTTCCTTTTCTTAAAAGTTGCGGTTCCCTCAACCTGGTAAGAGCGCGCGGCTGAAATGTCACTATTTAGAAAAACATGATCTGCTGTGCCACTCTGTGATCTAATGCCACTTATTCTATGATATACCGATTTTAACCTTAATGAAAGTTGGATTTTTTTATTATTAATATTTTATTTGGTGCAAATAAAAGTTCAACTCGTACAATTTGGTACAACTGAATGATTAAGTTCAACTAGTATAACTGGGTACAACTGTAATATTGAGTTCAACTAGTACAATTGGGTACAATTAGAAGATTGAGTTCAACTGGTACAACTAGGTCAACTAGGTACATCTGAGAGATTGGGTTCAACTGGTACAACTGAGAGATCGAGTTCAAGTAATACAACTGGTACAATTGAGAGACTGGATTCAGATAGTACAACTGGTACAACTGATAGATCGGGTTCAAGTAGTACAACTGAGAGATAGTAGAACTGGTACAACTGAGAAATTAAGTTCAACTAGTACAACTGGTACAACTGAGAGATTGAGTTCAAATTAGTACAACTGGACACAACTGGGTACAACTGAGAGATCGAGTTCAAATTAGTACAACTGGTACAACTGAGAGATTGAGTTCAACTCGTATAAATAGTACAACTGTTACAAATGATACAACTTGTAAAAATGGTACAACTGAGAGATTAAGTTCAACTAGTACGAGTAATACAAATGGTACAACTGAGAGTTTGAGTTCAACTAAGAGTTATAAGACAATTGGTAGAATCTAAATTGAATTGATAGTACAACCCTAGATCTATTTGATACAAAATTAGTCTACAAATTGTACAACTCTAGATCGATTTTCACAAAATTAGTCAATCCAGAAACTGACTTTCTGAAACTCTGGATCTATTAGATGAAAAATTAATCTAATCAGAAACTCACCTTCTGAAACTTACTTTTCGTCCTTTATAAGAGTCAGATTTTGTATCAGATCGACATGAACTGAAACAAAAATATGGTTTCAATTACATCAATATTAAATAAGAATTCAAGGAAAGAGGATGGAGATGTAATTATAAAGAAGTGAAGAGATCTTCCATTGCAAAAGAAAATTTAAGAAAAATGAAAAGATGAAGAAGACCAAAAAGGTGAAAGAGGTTGTGAAGAGATAAGGAGGCCGAAAGGAGTTGTGAAAGAAAGAGAGATAGATAGTTAGGTTTTAGGTTAAATAGTAGTTGAAGTGGTAAATAATAAAATTATTTAAGGATAGAAAGATATTTTCTTACGTTTTGGAATTAAATAAAAATCAAAAAGAAATTATAAAATGTACGGATCAAAATCTCAAAAGACCTTCTGTACAGGAAGGCAAATCAAAACTGACCCTTACTAATCTCTCATAACCTTCCTAATATGAATTACATATTTTACTCTTAATGAATTATTTAATTAAATTTAAAAAAAAAAAAAATTCACCCCAGCCAGTATTTTCTGGATCTCCCCGCGAATAAAGCATAACTAGTACAACTGATACATCTAGTCTAACCGGATAACTAGTATAACTAATACAACTTGTATAGGTTGTATAACTCGTATAATGTGTACAACTACTATAAATACATGTACATAAATGGTAAGACTGGTACAACTATTGCGTGCTGATGTCGTTTATTGTTCTTTTACAGAGGATAATGAATTGTTTCGTCATACATTTTGATCATGGCGATGATGTACGATAGAATATGAAAGAACTTGGTGTTTCTACTCTAGTTATGAGAGGAAAGTTAGAGGAGATAACTTATTGTCGATAAGTTAATAGGATAAGGAGTAAGATTATGGTAGATGAGGCGACGACAAAACTTGTGCTGAGTTACCTTCTGTTGATAGTCGAACCTATAAGGCCTTCCTATTATCTTGAATGATAATAGTACAACTAAATTTTAGTTCAACTGGTACAACTAGTTAACTTTTAAATACATTTATGAAAATGCTTATATATATATATATATATATTCTCATGTTAAATAGGCCATCAAAACATTGCAAACATATTTCCACAACTATATTAGTGAACTAAATACAAATTTCATAATTTGATTTGATGAAGATGTTATCTTTCCATAATCTACCTTACACTTCTAAGGTTACTTTCACAATCTTAACGACACAAACATGGAAAACAAACTAGCAAAGTATATGTACACATTTAATTATATTGGAATATGTGGAATATAGTTTATATACTTAATTTCGTAAGTACAACTAAAGAAATTTTATTTAGAGAATGGTACCACCAATTACAAGTTTTTAGGGGCAAAGTACAACTCTTTACAATTAAAGTACAACTGGTTCCTTGGTACAACTCAGTGTTAAAGATTCAATTTTTTTAAGCACGTTTTTAATGTTTTACATGATGTCGGTGCACATTTTTTTCATTTAAATTTGCTTGCGATGTTTTTAAATATTTTACATGGTAGTTGGATGTAGTAATACTAGTTGTACTTGCGATATTAAGTATATATAAGCATATTAAGTCTGAAAATACTTAAATTCATAATAAGTCTAAATACATAATAAATCTAAAAATACATAAAATCAAGAAAATAAGTTATCATTTTGGAATATAAGGGGACTGCAACACATGTGAAGGTTTTAGATTTCTCTAATGTCTTGGAGTTTTTGGAGATCTTGACTTCATACACTTTTTAATCAACCTCTTAGTTGTATGGACTTTCACACTGGACTTGTAGACTTGTAGACTTTTCTCTCTGCAAACAAAAAAAGTCAATGAAAATCAGACTAATAACTATAATCAAATTCTTAGTTAGATAATTAAAAGAGTAAAAAAGTGTAAAAAGCGAACCATTTCTCACCAAAAGCAGGCTCGGCTGCGACAACACTGTCCTCTTGTGTCTTAGCGTCAGTAACTACAACACTATCCTCTTGAGTCTCTACAACTTGAGTCTCCGTAGCTACATTACCAAAAATAACATCTGCAATTGCCTTCTCTGCAGCAATAGCCTCCTCTTCAGCAATGTCTTTCTCTGCAGCAATAGCCTCCTCTTCAGCAATGTCCTTCTCTGCAAGCTCTGCAATTAGTTATACTAACCGTTCTAGTTGAACTAGTTGAACTACGCATACTAGTCGGACTATTTGAACTAGTTGAACTAGTTGAACTACTCATACTAGTTTGACTAGTTGGACCTAGTTATACTAGCCATGGTTCCACAAAATTTAGGGTTTACCGATGCTGGTTGTGATAATGAAGGTTGCGACGGTGAAGCCGGTTTAAACTCGACGGCGGCGGCAGTGGAGGATCTGGCGAGGGTGTGGGCGTTCTCAACTGAACTCCTCTTCTTCCTCTCGTACGAGACGCCATCGGATCAAAAAATTAGAGGTAGAACTGGTCGAAAACTGGTGGATTTCGGTGTCAATTGGATCGTTGATAGAAAAAAGAAAAGTTTAAATTAGGGTTTGAAGGATGTTTGAATGGAAAAGGGAAAGATGAAAAGATATTGTCGATTTGGAGGAATCGAAAAGAAAAAAGAGAAGGACAATATAGTAATTTTATTATTTTTATCTATTAAAGAAAAAATTAAAATAAAATTATAATATAGAGAGGTTATTTGAGCAGCTTGACCTCGTACGGAAGGTTATTCCAGATTTTGATCCAAAATGTACTGATGACATATGAGATCAGTTTCTATTCGATTGTGGCATATGAGCAATTGATCCACCTGGTAAGCACCTTGGTAATGAGAATCATAGCCGTGCGTCTGTACCGCGAAATCAAAAGCCAATTGAAGACACCTTGGTAATGAGAATCATAGCCGATTCTTCAGAACATCAAGGAACCAGACGATAAGGGGAAGCTGCAAACCTAAACCACCAGAGAATTTCAGATGTGTGACTTTCTTCACGACTTTCATCAAATCGATCTCTTGGTGAGGCATGGTGTTGGAGCCATGAGGACCAACTGAGATGTTTCATGAGGAATTGGCGGTGAAATACGGAGCGAGGAGTGAGGCGGAAAGCGATGGAGTCTAATGGCAGGAGCCGTCAACAACGGTGCCAGAAGTAGGTGATTGTCAACAATTTATATCAAAAAAGATTTTCTGAAGCAACCCAAGGTCTTCCTTAGGTAATCATTGATTTGATTTCTCTCTGTTTCGCTGTGATTTTATGCTATTCAAAGTTATTTACATGGTTCCTTCTTTCTGTTTATCAGGTCAAAGAAGTCAGGAAAGGAGATGCGACTTGGAACGGGTGGAAACCAATTCTGGGAGAACATTGTCTTGGGCTTTAAAACTCCTCATGAAGCCATTGAAGGTTTGTTTCTTTTTTTCTTTCTCATTTCACATTAGTTGTTTCTTTGATCGATACGACGCGTTTGATTAAAGGTGATAATGTCGTCTCTGAAATCTCCTGGGTTGCTTGCTTTATTGATGGGATCATTTGGATATCACTTGTGGTCTTGTTGTCTCTTTTGCTTTGCTGGATTCAGCTACAAAGATTGAAATACTTTGGCAGGGAAAAGGCATTAGAGTGTTTGATATCATATCCTGGCCGATGAGCCTTTTGCTTCTCCTTTGCTTTTGCATAAATCTCAGAGCGTCTGCTGCTCAAGATTACAATGAAACAGGCCTTTATGATCCTCTATGAACTGATAACCATAGGAAAAACTCGGCGAGGTTAGCAACAGCTGGATTTTTCTGCATTCTGACATTCTCTTGGATGAATCCGTTACTCTTGGCGGGCGTCAAGAAACCATTATCTCCAGAAGATATCCCAAGTGTAGTCCCAGATGACGAGGCTGAATTAGCTTACAATAAATTCTCTCATCCAAGGATGCTCTTGTCGCCGAGGGAAGCTCATCCAAGGAAAGAAAGTTAGTGTTTAGAACCATTGCAAAAGTTTACTTTAAGGACAACATATTCATAGCAGTTTGTGAGCTTTTCAGAACAGTTGCTGTTGTGTCTCTTCCACTAATGCTATATGTCTTTGTGGATTATGCAAACAGTGACCATAGAGATCTCCGTAATGAGTTCTTCAAGGTGTTGTATCACCATCATTGGTGGGAAGAACGAGCGTTGGCTTGACGATAGCTTGAGGGATTGCATTTTTCCCTGGGAAGGCTCTAAAGAATGCAAATCTTGGGGTGATAATACAACAACAAGCTTGACGATTGCTTGAGGTACTACATATGTCTCTGTCGAATAGCCAGCATCAGAATAGAAGCTACCAATATGTTAGAACACAACAACAAGCTGCTGGTCATCCAGAATGTAATTTCGCTGCCTATTTTAGTGAGTGTAATAGGTTTGTGGTGCTTTTTTTTTGGCTTGATTCATGCTAACAAAGTTGACATGGGAAAAAAAATCACTCCATTTATTTATTGTTACGCTTTAGTTTAAATTTTTATTTGGGTCAAAAATCACCATGGGTTATTTGAATCATCGGATCTTCGAGAGCAAGGTCAGTTTTAGCAATTTTACTGATGATTACATGTGGAACAGAATCACCTTATAATATTATCCTATGTTGCGGAAACGAGTACGAGGAAATGAAAATATAAGAACGGAAACGTTTTGAAAACAGATATGTGTATGTAATATATACCAAGAATCAAATTGTAATATTATTAAAATAATAATTTTTACTATAAAATAAAAAAAAATATTTTTAAAATAAATTAAATTATTAATTACATAGCATCAATCGATGCGATAACCATTAGATACCACTCCTGAACTATACTCTAACAACTCTTATTAATACCGTCAACTAAAAATCTATACTATTATTATTTGAAAAGTAGATTTCCGACGTATCAATTTCACGTTCGTTCTCAGCATATTTTAGGTATCGATTTTTTCAATTATATCCTTAATGAAAACCGTGATCTAATTATCGGTTTAGTGTTATACACGGTTTATTAAATTGAATGAATGATTAATTCGATAGAGATAAGCTCGATTGATCGGTTAGCTGGATAAGGATGGTTCTTTTTTTTATATCACCGATTTATATGGCAGTCGTATATATGAATTATTTGGGTAATGATGGTTTTGTTTATGAATTATTTGAATAAGGATGATTTTCCTTTTTCGAATATATTCGTTTGTGAATATTTTTATCGAATATATTAAGTATTTGGATAAGGATGGTTTCATTTATTTATGAATTATTTGGATAAGGATGGTTTTCCTCTTTTCGAATATATTCATTTATGAATATTTTTAGGTCGCCCTAGGTTGTCGAGTATGTATAAATACTCTTGCTTCCTTTCATAATCTAAACATCAAACCATCGCATTTTTTAGGTTTTTGTCTTTCCTAGGGTTAGTTTTTTATTGTCTTCGTATATATTGCTCTTCTATGTTTGTGTATATATATATCGCTTTCTTAGCGTCCTAGATGATTATAGCTCGTGATGTTTTCATATTCGTGTTTTGTTTGTGTAAATGATTCTAACTCGTGTTGTTTTCATGTTCGTGTTTTCTTTGTATAGGCTACTGGTCGCTGTTGCTTGGTCTTCTGGTTATCAAGGTAAGTTTGATGTGGTTATTGTGTTCCGTATATTTTGTTCTTTTATGTTTGTATATCTATATATATATCGTTTTCTTATCGTGTATAATTATTATAGCTCGTGATTTTTTCATACTCGTGTTTTGTTCGTGTAGTTGATTCTAACTCGTGTTGTTTTCATGTTCGTGTTTTCTTTGTATAGGCTACTGGTCGCTATTGCTTGGTCTTTTGGTTATCAAGGTAAGTTTGATGTAGTTATTGTGTTTTCGTATATTTTGCTCTCTTATGTTTGTATATATATATATCGTTTTCTTATCGTCCTAAATTATTATAGCTCATAATTTTTTCATACTTGTGTTTTGTTCATCTAAGTGATTCTAATCCGGGTTGGTTTTCATGTTCGTGTTTTCTTTGTATAGGCTGTTGATCACTGCTGCTTGGTTTTTTGGTTATCAAGGTAAGTTTGATATGTCACATAATCTCTTTATTGGACTATTCTTGGGTAATATTTTATGTCTTTGTTGGATGCTGATGGTGTGTACGATATTTTATTTGTTAGTGTTAATTTTGTTATTGTATTTAATTGTGTGTCTTTAATTGAATATTTTCGCAGGGTGTTATATTATTCACGATGCATTATACTGGTTAGTTGGTCGTTTTGTAGTTATTTGCGTGTATATCTTTACGTGTTCGTGTTTTATGATCTGTGATCTTATATTTGTTTTAGATTTATGTCATTATGTGAAAGTTGTTGATTTTGGTTTTGACTATTGTAGGAACTTATATTCTATCGTATCATCTTCCTGGTGCGAATATTCAATGAAGTTTACTGCTTGGATGGAGTGTAATAATGTTTACCCTGATGCAATGCAATTGACTCACACGGAGTTCCTTACAAAGTTTGTATGGGATCAGAATAGTAAGTGTTGGAAGCCTAGATGTCGTGGTGGTAGGAAACCTGGTCGTTTGGCGTATTGTACTGATACTTCTGTAGATATTTATTACTTAAGGCTTTTGTTGCTTAGGGTAAAGGGTCCAACATCTTTTGATTCTATAAAGACGGTGGCTGGTATCGTTTATCCGACATTTAAAGATGCATGCTGTGTTTTGGGTTTAGACGATGATGATGAAGAATATGCTGCGGCGTTGTGAGAGGCAAGTCGTTGGTACGATGGTTCGGCGGTGCCTACTTTGTTTAGGAATTAATAGTTGCGTTGATGTTTTTTTGACGGGCATATGATATGTTTTGATTTGATCTCTATTTTAAAGGCTTAATCATTATTATTATATATATATATATATATATATCTCTATAAATTATACGAATCTTTGATAACCTATTTGGTATATTTTCCTATTTAATATGTTTTGTGTTTACTATATTTTACTTAATCTTGATTTTAGTTTTTTTAATGGATGTGTATTATATATTTGAAAATATTGATATCTATAATTGATATATTTTCAAATATGCAATTCATATATATCGATCAATACATGGTTAACGAATATTCACAAAGTAATAATGGATATTCTATGGTAATATATTTTGAAATATGTGATTCATATATATTAATAAATATATGGCTATTAGTGATTCATAAAAGTAATAACCGGTATTCGTATATATTAACATAATTGGGTATATTCAGAATCATTATTCAACATATTTGGTAATATCCAAGATGGTTAAATAGTACATATTAGATGAGAATTTTTTATATTTGTAATATTGTAATTATGATTTTTATGTATATTTTTCCATGTCTCTAACGTGTTGATTTCCGTTTGTTTGTATATTCAAAAAGATACACGTAACAAATGAACATATATTTGATTCCATTATTGCGTTAATATCGTCTTGTGATTTATTTATTATCTGAAACGAAATGTTTTCAGGCCCAAGTTATTGAGCATAAAAAATGTAAACCCTAATTTATTACTCATTCGGTTAGATTGACATGATGTATATATTCTCTCTAATTATTATATTCTATTATGCTATGATAGTCTTGACAATACGTACCAGCATTGATAATAACCTACTTTCAAATCATGGTTCTTTCTCTCTATGGTGTTGTGTCGTCGTCTTCTTCTTCTGTGTTCCGTGAACATCCTACCCAGTCGATGATGCATGCGTGTAAAAGAACTGGTATTTTTATTTTATTTTTGTCATGGATACGTTATGGTGTGGTTTGTGTTGGTTATTATATATTTCATAGTTTCTTTCCGATTTTTTGGAAGTTCCTTTGCTGAGTTGAGTTCGACGAGTTTTTGATGACAGTTTGCGGTCATATAACGTGCCCTATGTGTTTTCAAATGCCCGAGGTATACTCGTGGATGATGTGTTTATGTTGTAGTAGAGAGCATGTGTACTGGCTATATTGTTCCTGAAGCGTTTAGGCAGTTGCTCATTTATGTAGATATGAATGATAGACGTTATGCACATCACGAGGTATGTCTCGGCGAAGACGATTTTGGTGACATGGATTATGATTTGTTGGATGTGGGTTCTGAAAGGGAGACTCCCTAGTTATCTGGTGGTAGTTGTACCGCTTCCGACGTTGAGTTGGTAAGAGACTCCCGATTTATCTGGGATACTTTGCGTTGTTGTTTCACGTCCACTCGCTAATATTGCCTATCGCTTTGGTATGCAGTTCACACGGAAAGAGTTCTTGCATGATCCAGGTTCTTTTGGTGTCTCATAATTGAGACCTGGTTTTCTTGGGGCAGTAGTTTTGGTGAAGGTGCTACGAGTTTAGACTACTTCGTTTCATTCGTCTGATAAAACATTGAACTTGTTTTTGTGCGATGATAAGGTTTGTTTGGATGATCTGTTGTTGTATTCTGTGTTATGATTTTCGTTGTTGGGTACTTTAATGTTTGGTTTCGTTTCTATGTTACAGGGTGTGAAGATTTGTAGAACCGTTTATGCTGCTGATTACGACCTTTTCTCTTCTGTGCTGTGTGAGGGTGTCTGGATTACAGTTAGAAATTTTGTTATTATTGATTTAAATAGCGATTATAGAATTACATCCCATGGCAGTGAGATGCTCATTCTAGGTCTGACGGTTGTTGATATGCAAGTTCATTCATATGATCAAATTTTTTTTTAACTTCATAAGCTTTGAGCAGATTCTCGATAGGGCTCCCTCAGACCGGTCTTTGGTTGGTATGCTATTGTTTAGATGTTCGTCTGCTATAAAATATGGTGTCATTATTCTTTTTATAACTTTCTATCATTATTGGTTCTGGTCATGATTCCGTCTCTTGCTTGTGTCGTGGTACTGTTCTCTATACATGATAACTTAATTTGGTTAGTTATAACTGGAAACTTGGGTTGGTTTATTGGCAGCTTCGTTCTTTTGCATAGTTATTTAAAAAATGATTTTGTTAAATGGGTTGTGATCAAGGTAGATTGTTGCTGTTTTGTTTTTCATGCATATATTATGTGTTTGCTTACACGTGTGTTGTTCTGGAATTACGTGTCCAGGTGGTTGTAGTCGATCTTGCGATTGTTTGCTACCTGACTTGCATCATGTTCGTACCAATCCGGTATGTAAGCTTGGGATTGGAGATGATATTAGTGATATGGAGGATGAACATGATGACGGTTTGTCTGGTGGCAATGTTGATGATATGGATTGTGATTATGAGTGTAATGGAGATGAAGACGATTGTGAAGATGACGATGAGGATTTAAATGATCTTGATGATGAGTCTCATGGTGATGATTCCAGTGGTGATACTCTTGATGATGATGATTCTTTTTCTACCGAAGAGCTGATTGATAACGATTATGATGGTTTACCTGGTGGCGGTCTTGATTGTGATACTCGTGTCGATTTTGTATCTGGTAGTCCTACTGATGATCGTGTGCAAGATGGACAACGTGGAGTCTCTTCTCCCAAAGTTTCTAATAATGCTTCTATTGTAGGTGTTGTTCAGCCTGTAACACCTACTAAGTTCGAGAATGGAATGGTTG